TAACTGTATCATCAAATCAAATGACACGATATACTGATATTTCAATATTTTTGCACAACCCCACTGAGCAGGTGTGAAGGTACTGCCTGAGATCTGATTGGTTGAGTCGGAAAGGTAGCAGGCTGTGACTGGCTGACGGTGACAGGTAACGTGAACAAACATGTGGGAAAAAATAAATAAAAATTACACTTTATTTTAGGATTTCATTTGACATTTGACACTGTTTGGGTGTAAGGTAAAAGAGGAAAGATCTCAGCGTTTGTCCTCAATTATGGCTGTTATTAGATTGAAAATTATATCATATCCCGTATATTTCTACATGTATCTTTAGTCGTAAAAAAATATGGTGTAGGTAATTGCTATGAGTGTAAGAAAAAATTGATTCAGTGATATATTGTGGGTCCATGTATCATTCATTTTTTGAATTTCAATCAAGAATAAAAAACAATAAAATGGGGAAACAGTTTGTTATTCCATTATTCCATTTTGTGTCAAACAAAAGAACAGATTTCAACCTCTATTTTCAATATTTAATTTCAAGTTTATTTTGTCATCGAGCCTATTTCAATTTTGCTATTTTGATATTTTATTGTCTTCTAGCAGCAGAACGTCCAGGACAAACAAACCAGAGAGAATAAAAGTATCAAAATTGCAAAAGTGAAACAGACTCCAAGACTGTTTTTTGATTGGTGTTATTTGAAATAAACTTTTCATTAAATATTGTAAATAGAGATCAAAATCAATTTATTTATTTTTTAGTTTGACACTAAAACGGAATAATGAAAACGAAATCTGTTTTTTTTTTTTACACTAATGCGGATTAATGAACAAACTGTTTTCCCATTTTATTAATTGAAATTCAAAAGAACAAATGGTACATGGACCATCATAATACTTTTGCGCGATTTTTAAACTTTTTTTTTAAGGTCAAGTTTTTCATGAAAAATCATTACGTTCCATTTACTGTTCTTGTGATTTAAATATCAAATAAGCTGCATTTTATTATTTTTTTCCTCATTAAGGTGTACTTGACCATAATATTACACATAATTACTGATAAATCAAAAGATTTTTTCCTTTGTTTTTTACAGGATGTATCGTGACATATTTGTGACATATTGACTATTTTATTTGATTACATTTTTACTTGTACATGTACATTTATTTAATTATGCCTTATTTGACACCAGTCTATTTTTGTTACTTATTTAGAATTTATTATTACCATTTATGCATTTTTTCTCATTGTTATTATCATATATTGTGATGTTTGAGCTTCTGTGTCCAAGTCATTTCCTTTGTGAATCAATAAAGTTTGTCTAAGTCTAAGTCCTGTCGCCAAAACGCTTCCGCAGACACTTCAGCGAGCACTGCCACATGTTAAAAGAATCAGACTCACAACATGGATGATTCAGTGCAGCTAAAGCATCGTCTGAAAAGGATGAACTTTTACTGACACTGCATTGCGTGTCATTCAAAACGCGTCGCTGTGACATCCTCTCTCCCAGAGACAGACTGTTGTGGCAAACAGAGGAAGCGTTGGCAGGACACGGACGCTATCACGCTGAATTTCTGAACTGAAGGACTTACACAGGCATTGTCCGACTGGGAAAAATGGGGAAGTCGGAGTGAAAATCTTTCCGTGTGTGCCAGGGAAATACACTGTTCTCCCATCACGGCACTCCATCCCAAAGACAGAGCATGCACGGAGCCACGAGGTCAATAACACACAGTCAACTACATTTACTGTAACTTCATTCTATTTTCGGACAGCGGTAGAGTCGGCTCAGGGGTGTGTGCAGTTACAAGTACGGATGTAACAATACACAAAACTCTCAATACGATAAGAGGCTGTAAGGAGGAACTGTGAATATGCATTTAAGATTAAAAGTTTTTAGCTATATTGCTGCACTATAACTATTCATTTAATCGGAGAGACTTCTAATTCGGTAATGAGCACGGATACAAGCGGCTGAAATGACTTTCCTCCGCAGGGTGGCTGGGCGCTCCCTCCCTTAGAGATAGAGTGAGGAGCTCGGAGTAGAGCCGCTGCTCCATGACGTCGAGAGGAGCAGTTGAGGTGGCTCGGGCATCTGCTTCGGATGTTTGTAGGGCGTCTCTCGTGGGAGGTGTTCCGGGCATGTCCAGTTGGAAGGAGGCCCCGGGGAAGACCCAGGACACGCTGGATGGAGGGACTATGTCTCTCGACTGGCCTGGGAACGTCTTGGGGTCCTCCCGGAGGAGCTGAATGACGTGTCCGGGGTGAAGGAAGTCTGGGAGTCCGTGCTTAGACTGCTGCCCCCGCGACCCGGCCCCGGATAAACAGAAGAAAATGGATGGATGGATGGACTTGTGATTCGATACTATGATGGCTCATGATATTATTGTGAGACTTTAAACGATATAATATTATTGTTACATCCGTTACAACCAATAACATCTGATCGCGATTCAGTCACCTTTAATTGCCATTTGTCATTTGTGCCGGCCTTTTTTAACATAGAAGTAGTAAAAGCATATGGTTTGGGGCTGAGTTCATATTCTGGAAGTCTTTTAGTCAACTTCAAATGAAAATAACAACAATTTCAAATTAAAAACATGATTTAACAAATGTGAATGTGGTGTGGTAAAGAGGGAGAATAGAGAATGAAACAGAAGTAGAAATGAAAATGCTAGCAGTTCTTGTATTCTTAGTATTTTCCAACATCATTTACAGTTTTGGCAGTAAAACACTAAAGACAAAGTGTCCAAAAGCCTGACATGTGAGTACTGAATAATGCAGTAGAGTCATTTGTCCACTAGGGTAACGCAAAGGGCCTGGGGGGGGGGGGTTGTATTGTTGCCGTGGTTCAGTGGCAGGGGACGGGAGACAGGGGAGAGGGGACGGGACAGAGGCGACAGGAGACAGTGGACGCTCTGTTGTAGGCGACAGTGACAGGTCGCCCGGGTGTTTGCCTGTACAAGTCTGTGTGAGCTACTGAGACTGACGGAGAGAGGGATGAGGGGGAGAAGGAGAGAGAGGGAAGAAGAGAGAGAGAGAGAGGGGGAGGGAGGGAGAGAAAGAGTGGGAGGGAGGAATGGAGGAACAGAGGAAGGAAGCGAGAGAAAAAGAGGTAGGGCGTGAGGAAGAGAGAGATAGAAGGGAGGGAGAAGGAGGGAGAGGAGAGGGAGGAGGGAGGGGAGGAAAAGAGGTGGAGGGGAGAGAGAGAGAGGGAGGGAGGGAGAGAGAAAGAACAGATGGAGGAAAAGAGAGAGAGGGACAGAGAGAAGGGATGGAGGAAGAAAAAGAGGGAGGGAGGGATGGAGAGGAAGGAAGCGAGCAAGGGAGAAAGAGGTAGGGCGGGAGGAAGAGAGAGAGAGAGAAAGATGTAGGGAGGGAGGAAGAGAAAGAGGGAGGGAGAGAGGGAGGGAGGGAGGGAGGGACAGAGAGAAAAAGGATGGAAGAAGAGAGAGAGGGAGGAAGGGAAAGAGAGGTAGAGAGAGAAGGGATGGAGAAGAAAAAGAGGGAGGGAGAGAGAGAGAGGGAGAGGAAGGAAGGAAGAGAGCGAGGGAGAAAGAGGTAGGGAGGGAGAGGAAGAGAGTAAGGAAGGGAGAGAGAGAGAGAGGGAGGGAGAGGAGAGGGAGAGAGAAGAGAGAAAGAGGTAGGCAAGGAGGAAGAGAGGCAGATGGAAGGAGAGAGGAGAGAGGGAGGGATGAAGGAAGGAAGGGAGAGAAGAGAAAGAGGTAGGGAGGGAGGAAGAGAGAAAGGGAGAGAGAAGGAGGGAGGGAGATAGTGAGAAAACAAGAGCATGTTTGTCACAGAGTGTTCGGGGAGTCGCTCTAACTCCCAACAGCTGACTACACGACCGCGCTCATGTTTATTTTATCTTTTAATTTGGGACGAGTTTTGCAGAAGGAAACTCGGTGGAACGCACACATGACCACAATTACAGAAAACTGACAGACAGATTGGAAAACCTTAAAGTGCGTTTGACAGGTTACACTAACTATTCATGTACTGAAATCACACACGTTCTTGCCAAAGTGTTACTTGTTTCCCCAGTTTGACAATGAAGCTGAACTGTGAACGCCCAATCCTCCTTTCAAGAACTAAACTTACAATTCACTTTTTTCATGGACTCTCAGAAAAAACAAATAAAAGATCAAAAACTTGCTTGTTTGATAATCAGCTACGTGTTAACAAATGACCATGAGGCCTGTTTCTGAAACTTTATAAACTAGTGACCAGATTTTAAAAAAAAAAAAAAAAACTTGGACATCGCTGGTTTGTGGTGGTTGGTAATAATAAAATTGTGATATGAGTGCATAATTAAGGAAAATGTATATGCACTCGGCACTAATGTGAGTCAGTATAGTCACATTTTACTTGTGTTTTGGTCATTTTTAAGCAAATTTCTGTATTTTACCAAAACAAATGACTGTTGGCAGTGATAAAATTGGTCAAAAATAGCGACACGTGAGACATTTTTTGTATAAAACTGGGACAAATCACTGGTTTTGGATAAATCTGCTGGGACAGGGGACACAGGGCTCAAAACTGGGATTGTCCCGGGTAAATAAAGATGTCTGGTCACCCTATTATAAACCACAAAGTTATTAAAACATTTAGAAGAATCTTATATTTCAACGTCCCTTTTGCACTTAAAACAACAGCGTTATAAATATTAGTTGGCTGCATGTCGCTGTTTAGCCTCTGCGATGTCTTTGAGATCTTAATATTAGAATTTTTGAGAAGTCTATGGGAAAAATTTATAGAAAATTTACTTTGGGAAGCAGAGTGTGCGGTTTCTGTTGAGCTGTATAGGCTCCATGCACAGTTCACCGTGTCTCAAAGCTAATGCGAACTTAGCTTTGTTTTATATGTAGATATAAAACCCCCCATGAAACCAACTGATAGTTTACTTGATTAACAGATTAATTATATAATACTGTTAACTTTTCATATGATGCACACTGCGAAAACCAAACAGCACATCTTCATAAGAAAGGGTAAAATGGGATAAGAAGTTGTGTATGTGTTTTATGAATTCTTTCCAAAAACACACAGAGTCTGGGCAGGTCCAAAATAAGTGAGAGGTGGTTTCATTTTTCAGTTTGCAAAATGTACAGTTTGTGTCCGTTGCCCTTCTAAGATGATTCTTTACCGGATAACAGTGATGTAGAAGTTTGTAGCAGATTTCCCTTTGCTTGTTGGTGATGAGATATTTGTAAGTCCGGCTGCTCACAGTGCACGAGTAGGGCTCTGTTTGGGAGGTGCACTTGTGGTGTCATTATAAGACAAGTTTAATTGAAGATGAAGCCAAGTAAGTTCCTTTTGAAAAGTTTTTCAAAGTTTGGTGTGCAGCGTCTTCACTCACGCTGCTCAAGCCGCCGTCTTCAGGTGCTGCACTGTCCTGCCGCTCCCCCAGTTTATATCACTGAATACATCTCAGAACATCTAATAAACAAAATGTGAACTAAAACGTGTTAAATTAATACTAGTGAGTTTGGAAAAATATCAGAATAAATTGTATATTTTTGTTTATTATGATAAAATGACAAATATTCGTAGGGACTATTTTGTCTTCCCCAGATATTGGTTGTGACACGTCCCCACCGTCCCTACGCAAACCTACACCCTTGCCTTAAATTAGCACTAAGAAATTCTCCTTTCAGGTTGGACATGGGCAGCAGTGACATACAGTTTTAAAACACTAATTATTATTTAAAAAGTTGAGAATTCACTTTTTGTTTTCATTCTTTTTTATTCATCTCATTTAGCCTCATCACTAAACCAATCTTACGTGTCACTCCATCTATTCCTCCCTCTGTGATCCTCGGCAGACTCCCCTTCCTGCCCCTCCCCTCACCTCTGTCCACCCCTGGACCCCTGCGCTGCCCCCTGCCTGTGTGTGGGGAGTAGCGCAGGCTGTTGGGGGGAGTGGAGGAGCGGCTGAGGGGTGCTCTGGTCAGGCTCTCGGGGGGTCCTGGGGTGGTCTTTGAGGTCTGATGGGGTGAAGGGGAGTGGAGGGTCAGAAGCTGCTCCTGAGCTTCGGGACAAAGCTGCGGTCAGCTGCTCTCTCTCCTCACACTCTCTCTGCACCGTCTCCTCCAGGAACGCCACCTACAGGTGAAGAAGAAGAATGCAGGCTATAAGCTGTGAAGGTAAAACTGAACAAAAAATATTTCAGACTTTTCTGGTGTCTTGTCTCACTTGCATTACCTACAATTATTAAATAGGTTTAATTGCTGGAAAATGTTGATAAACATTCCTTTCCACAGATCTGACCTGTAACGTGAAAGGTGATAGATACTCCACTAGAAAAGTCACATCATGCAGAAAGAAATGGTTTTATCTATTTATTTTTTTGATTAAATTGTTGGGGGCATAAGTTCATGTTTAGTCCATGATCTTGGCGACAACTGGAGAACCTCTAGTGCAGACATGTCAAACTCAGGCCTCAGGGCCAAATTTGGACTGTAATATAATTATATCTGGCCCACAAGATCATGTCAATATGTACTAAAGCCCACTTGCTACAGCTAAAATTTTGTTATTATTTTAGATTTTGCTTGTTCTAGATTCAGTGTTTTCGCAAAACTATTATTAAACATTTATTTTAATAAGAAATGTTTAACATTACATATCTGGGAAGGAGAGAAAACATGCAGACGTTGCTGAAATTTTTCAATAAATATGTATTTTTGCCCAAGACTTAGTCCCAGTTTTGAATTTTGTCCTTCTGTGAATTTGAGTGTGACACCCCTGATCTAGTGCTACTGGGTAATATACTTTTTTATGTACTTGTAATATACTTTTCTACCAATTTTAGATTGCCTAGACAACAAATAAATCAATTTTGTATTTAATTTGATAGCCAATAATATTATCTGTTATTGTATTTCTTATGCAAGAAAATATCTCACTTTAGTTTTTTAATAGTGAAATAGTGAAAAGGCAGAAGTCAAAGGCCAAACGAGGCAGTTACAGAATACTGAAGTGAGCAAATCTGAATCCAGGATCAATATCAATTCTGATTTAAAAACAGTGTTGTGTAGAAGGAGCTTTTTGTTTTCGTTATACTTTATGTGTTAGTATATTTAAAATGTTCATGTCTGATCTATGTCATTGGTTCTGCTCATATCGAACACAGTCAATAAGATATTTTAACGAGTGGCCATATTACAAACTGAGAGGAGCACGAGCAGTTCCATCTCCAGAGGTTTTTAGTGTTATTAGTGTGGGTTTGTTTGGTGGAGGGAGAACAGCAGGTCAGTGACACACACACTGACACACACACTGACACACACACTGACACACACAGGCGCAGTCAGACGGGCTCCGGTCAGCGAGACCCCAACACAGTCAGGCTGATCCAGGAGCCCACAGTACACTATACACACACAGTACACGATATACACACAGTACACACAAAGTATACAACACACACCGCACAATATACACAAAGTACACAGAACACAGAACACACACAGCACAGAGCTTTCACTTACTGGATGTTTTGGAGATGTTGAATTTGCTGAATATTAAAAGCAGAGGATGCAAAATGGAAAGATTTTAATCCAAGTAGCTTCTCGATGGAAGGTCAGGCTGCCGTGAGGTCGGCGTGACATTTACTGCATTTGGAATGTAACAAATATTATTCATTTTTATAAACACAGATGAATGATGTTTTGTTGATATAAGAATTGCGAGCGAGGTCTGATTTAAGCTATCCAGTGTTTGGGAAAAGATGTACGAGATATCATGCGTTTTCTATTAGGCGCGGACAAAAAATGAGTGAGTATCTCAATAACAATGTTCAGTGTGAGTCCAACAGTGATGTGTTTAAATCTTTTCATGTATACATTTAGTATCAGACAGATATGACATGATTATAAAATTACTCACACAAGTGCAGACATTTTATAGAAGTTTACAGCGAAGTCTTTCTCCATTATCAGCTCTTTCTGCAGTTTTATTTAAATTAGAAATAATCATAATCTGCTGGTAGTTTTCATATTCTATAATGTGATCTTGTAATATTCTCAGATGAGGGCAAGAGACAGTTTTTCCCTTTTAATAACATCATAATTTGTCATGAAATATCCAAAAAGTTTATTCACAAATGTTTAATGTAATCTTTTCTATCGGTGACTAAACCCATTAACTTGCTTTATTACAACAAAAACCTACATTTTAACTGTATTTATTTTAGCTGTGTAAAATATTTTTGGTTTATAGAATCTTGATGTCATCTGAAACGCAGCAATTGATCATGTTGTTCTTTGTCATGAAATATCCAAAATCTAAATTCACAAATGTTGAACCTGATCCTTTATTTTAGTGAGTAGACCCCAGAACTTGTTAGCCTGATTCATCAGACGGTTTCACTTCGTTGAATCCGTCTGACCTCGCAGCATTAGGATTCGTTCGCTCGACGGTAGGCGGGTACTTTTTTTTATTTAACCAATTGCTTCTATTTGGTCATCACATATGTAATGCACCAAATCCTGTAGGAAGAAGGACAATAATGTCTTTCCCCTTGATAAAATTCACCAAACATTTTCTTTGTTCCAGCTTTAAATCCTTGATCTCGGGAATAGTTGCCAACACAGAATGTACGTCTTCGTCTACATCCATCTCGACCACTTTGTTTACTATTGTGCTTTACCACAAAAGGGACCCAGACAGGCACTTGAGTTTAACGTCATGGCTTCACAGCTCTTCGCTGATTGGTCAGTCTACAACTTCCGGGGTTCTTTCAAACCATCTAGTCTAGTGTATTCCGATTCCTGACCTAGTCGCTGGAGAAAAATGAAATTGAGCGGAGGCACTAGGTGGAGAACTCGCTGCATTACAACAAAATAATGAATTTTAACAATACACATTTTAGCTGCTCCCATCTAAATGAAATATGATTGGCCAATAAACTGTTGTGATTCCATCTGAAACCCAGCAGTTTTTCAGTAATCTGCCCACCTCTAGTTATGTATACTACTTAATAATTACATAACAAAACCCAGTCAAATATACATTAAAACTAAGTACCAACCTGATCTAAGAATCAAACTCAAGACCTTCTTGCTGTGAGTCTACAGCCTTAACCACTGTGTTGCCCAGATAAAACCGAAAAACTGTTCTAAATATTACAAAGGGTGTTTTTTGTTGATGTTTTTTTTTAATCTCTCAGCAGTTTGTTTAAGCATTAATTCTTCTTTTGAATCAGGCAATTGCTTATTTTAGTTAAAAATTCATGTAGTATGTATTTAATTCTGTATTAGTATTCCATTATTTGTTTATTATTTGTTGTTTACGTGTATTTTCAAGTGAACATGACAGTTTCAGATCTAGCCCAGACTAAATCCATCCCTTGAGTGAGTCTGCCTTTAGTGTAACATGATCCTGTGACAGCAGACGTCTGGCGGTGGATCCGAGGTGAGCTAGACGTGCCCTGTCCTCACAGCAGGAGGAGACGCTCTGACCTTTCACCTCTCGTGGCACAGGGAGGCCATTACTTTTCCTGACATTTCACTGGTGTGGATGTGTACCAGCTCGGAAATGAATCGTGTGTCTCCTTGAGTTACAGTTACAACTCCATGTCATGCGCTACTGAAAATACAACACGCAAGATCAAGTTTGTTGGTGCTATTTTATAATAACTACACTTTAATTAACCATAAAATGTTAACAGATGATTAATTCATAAGTGACAAACTGTTAATTAAAGTTCCTATATTACACAACATAGATTCTCATGAGCTTTAAGTCATGTTCTAGTGTTGTTACGTCTTCAAAAACAAACCTGGAGTTGTGTTTTGTTTCATTCACACTTTTGAGTAACATTTATTATTAGTCTGTCTACATCTTCAAAGATCAAAATGCTCTGTTCCACCTTGTGACGTCATTTAGTAGTAGTAGTAGTAGTAGTAGTAGTAGTAGTAGTAGTAGTAGTAGTAGTAGCAGTAGTAGTAGTAGTAGTAGTAGCAGTAGTAAACAGCTACCTTTTACTTTTACAAATGATTCTAAGGTACTTCCTTGACAAAAGATGGAAAGAGTTTCTGTTTGAGAGAAGAACTCAGCCTAAATATGCAGGGTTTGTGTGTAAAACATGTGAATGAAACAAAACAAAACTTCAGGTTTGTTTTTGATGAGGAATCATTTTCAAAAAATAATACAGGCTTTAAAGTTGTACTGTGTAGCTTTTCTGGTTGGGGGTCCTGAAGCGTTATTGCCTTGGCTGGAATATTCCACAATAGGGGTGTGCAAAAATATCAAAATATCAATATATATTGTATCCTGTAATGTGATGATACAGTATCAATATTGGGGACTGCTGTATTGATATATCGAGTGTTTTTTGGTGTATTTTACTAAATTATTTTGTTACAGTGCTACAATTTTGTTGTTTGTTTAGAGGAAGGAAACTCATTTAAGTGACACATTTGACATTTTCACTGTTTTGATGATTAAAATGGGTGTGTTTCTTATGAACTTTCACAAGAAGTGGTTTAACAAAGACTTTTAGTATCACAGCCATCATTTAGCCATTATTTTTCATTAAACCATAATAAATCGAATTGAAATATATCACATTGAACCGAAAGTGCACTGTATCGAGATATGTATCGTATCGTGGCCTTTGTTTCAAGGTATGTATCGTATCAGCAACTTCTTGATGATATCCAGCCCTACTCCACAATATGGTATTTTGCTTATTCCTACTGAATGCCTATTGTACGCTCAAGTACAGATCTTTTTAATGTTCAAAAATTAAATAAATAAATAAGAATAGCATTCTTCACTGTGAGCGGGGGAGCCTCTCCACAAATCTGACCTGTCACTTATTTAGCCTGGTGTCACTTTTGCTTGTCTCCATGGAGATAACTAAGTTTAATGTCATATTGTGGAACATTCTAGGCAAAGTAATAACGTCTCGATGGAAACAAGCATGTGCACCTTTAAGAATAATTCAGGTTTAGAGCTTAATTAAAGTGTTAGGGTATTAATTATGTAGTTATTAGGCCTGAATCATTTTTAATAAACTATTTGCAGAGTCTTTGTTTCTGCTTTATTAAGACCAGTTAAAATCATTATAATGTTTTTTTTTTCATCATAATTGGCAT